CTTTTAACTGGGTGGGATTCTGATGTAATTTCCAGAGTAGGGATGCTAAGATGTCTGATTTATTAAATTGGAACTTTAAGGATCATTTTGCCTTGGACTCTGATTTAATTCTACATGATACTTGGAACGCTGACAGGTGCATTTTGTGTGCGGTCAGAGGCATCTGCCAAGTGGATGGATTTTGAACACCTGTCCATGATGCTGCAACAGTTATAAGGGTGAAAAATGACCACGGGTCACTTTTTTCCAGGGCCATTGTAACTTCGGTCACTAAACGGAGTGTTGTAAGTCGAGGACTACCTGTAATTGTTCATGCTTGGCATGCTGGGGGCAGAGCTACTATGGAGGGGATCAAAAACCGTTACAGGTCCGGTGAGCCTTCCCATTCCTTCAGATGGGGCACGACTCCTGTGCCAAATTTGCTACGAATCACATTGTGAAGACAACAATGAAGGTGTTTATAGGAAGAGGTGAAGGCTCTGGTGGAATAAAAGTCACCAGGTTCTAAATATTAATAAAGCAAAGGAGATCATTGTAAATCATTGTAGGTTTTAGAAAGAGCCAGCTTAGTCATACTCCACTGAGTATCAAGCATGCAGGCAGTCAATGGTATTAAGTTTCTGGGAAGTGCAGATAACTAACAATCTGAACTGGTCTCTTCACACAGCATCCTTAGTGAAGCGTGCAAACCAGCGCTTGCATTTCCTGCATCGGACGAGGAGAGCACATCTTTCTCCTTATGTCCTGGCCACTTTTTACTGAGGCACGATTGAGAGCCTTTTAACAAACAGCATCACTGTTTGGTTTGGTGGCGGCAGTGCCTCAGATAGAAAGTCCATACAGAGAGTGGTGAGGACAGTGGAGAAGATTATAGGAAGCTCGCTTCCCACTATTCAGGATACTGCTTATAAGTGTTCTGTTCTTAGAGCTCAAAGCATTGTTAGAGACCCCACACACCTGCTTCACAGTTTCTGTTGCTCCCCTCTGAGAGGAGGTTTCAAAGTATCTATAGCAGGAGTACTAGATTCTGTAACAGTTTTGTTCCTTATGCCATCTGTCTAATCAACATGCAACATTCGTTTTCCTTGCCATGTACATGCACACATCCGAACTAGTGTTCCTTCTCTGTTTCATATAACATATGTGGGTATATGCGTAATTTTCTATTTATTTATTTCATTTCATTTCTTTATTATTTATTTAATTATGGTTATGTAGTGTATATTGGAGGTGGAGACCCTTTGAGAGCTGTCGGCAATAAAATTTCATTTTAATATATGCCAATTAGTGTACATTCAAAATGGCAATCAAGTTATTTTAAGTTTTTTTTAATATAAAAAGTTTTTATTTATTTTTTAAAATATGAACACCCCATCTTTTTTTAAACAGTGTGTCATCTGGGTACAAATGTCTCTGTGCCATAACCATCAGAGTTTACAACATCATTCACTATATTAATTCTCCAATCTTACAATTATAGTCTATTAAACGGCATAGTAAACCTGTTCACTTTTCCCTCTTGACCAGCGGTTCTTAACCTGTGGGTCGCGACCCCTTTTGGGATTGAACAACTGTTTCACAGGGGTCGCTGAGACCAGCGCAACTCTAAAGTTTAGACTCCACCTTGCGTTCCTTGAAATCCCTGCGGATGGGCTCCGGAATGGCCGCGCAAAGTATTGCTGCGGTTCCATGTCGTAAAAAACATAGGCGCATGCGTACACCCTGTACAATTAGCCTCGGAGACTTCGTACTGGAGGGAAAGTGTTCCTGTGAGGGAGGGAGGGGCTTAGGTGCTTCTCCGGGCTGTAATTATGTGGGTCATGCGCACGGCTATGTTTTCCACGACGCTGCCAGGTACTTTTAACTATATCTAAATCCACAACCAGACCTGTCATCAAGAGCCAAGCTCCGGAGCCCGAATTGACCCCATTCATACAATGAAAACCTGCTTGCTAAAAGTACCATAAACCATGCACAAAGGAAAAG